GTTTATTGAGCTTCTTGGATGGCCAGCTTTTCATCTTTCATGATATTGGGGAAGTTTTCTGTCAGCAGTTCTTCAGTGATCCTCTCTGTGTTTTCTGTTTTCTCCCCCTGTTCTGGAACTCCAATCACTTGCAAATTTTTGCTTTTGATTGTATCCCACATAATTCTCAGGTTCTCTTCATTTTTCTTCATTCTTTTTTCTGAGTTTTCCTCAGAGTTGTATCCATGTGTTTGTCTTCAATTCCGCTGATCCTGTCTTCCACCACCTCAGATCTGTTCCTCAGCCCTTCTATGACACTGTTCATCTGTGAAATCTTGTTTATCTTTTATATTTCTAATTGTTGTTTTTGTATAATTTCCAGCTGTGAATTTATTTTGGCATTTTGTTCCTGCATTATTTTCCCAAATTCTTCCATTTTTTTGTCTGTATTTTCCATGAATTTGTCTGCCTTTTCCATGAATTTGTCTATTTTTTCCTCATTTTTGTCTGCTTTTTTGCATCAACTCTTGGATGATTCTGAGTATTAGAGATTTGAATTCCCTATCAGGTAGTTCTAGTGCCTTTTCTTCTACTGGAAAGTCATCTGGTGTTTTATTTTAGGCACCTACTGGAAATATCCTGTCCTGTTTTAGTAAATGTTTTGATATTGTCTGCTGTCTTTGGGGCATTCAGTAGTTATTTTTCTCATTTATTGATTGTAGATTTGTTTGTTTCATCCTTTTTTAAAAAATTTGGCTATGTCTAAGCAGGCAGGCTGTGTGTTCTTTGTTGTTTGCTTGTCCGTGGGCATGATACTTTTCACTTCCTTCTCCAATTAGCAGGGTCAATTGCTCAGATATGGTACAGCAGGGCAGGTCTAGCTGAAGAGGAGTTGCTGGGATGACTTGTTTGTTGCACTTACCACAGCTACCAGGGTGGGTCGGTTATCAGTGCAGAGCAGGTTCTGTTGGGCTGTGCCTTTGCTGCTTGGTGGTGTGATGTTAAGCGCACAGTGCAGGTATGAAGGATGGAGGGGGGAGATTGTGATGTGTGGGGCTAATATGGTTATGGGAGAGAGGGGAGAGAAACAGGAGCCAAAAACATGCAAACCAACAAAAAAGAGTGCTAGGGGAGCTTACCTTTGGAGTGGAGAGATGAGAGACTATGAAATGGAGAAAAACAAAAGGGGAAGAAGAAGAAAAAAAGAAAAGAAAAGAATGAATAAATAAAAATTAGAAAGAAAAAAGAAAAGCAAAGCTCCCAGGGATCCCACTAGTGTGGCTACGAGGTCTGGGGAAGTTGTTCCCAGGTGTTGAAGTACAGCCTGGCTAGAAGATATAGAGGTGTCACTCAGCACCGGGTATTCAGGGGACAGGTAGAGAAGGAAGGTATAAAGAGATGAGAAACTGAGTAATGAAGAAAGACAAAAAGGGAAAAAAGAGGGAAAAGAAAACAAAACAGATTAAAAAAAAAAGAACAAGAAAACCCCCCAAAGAAACAGAAAAAAAACCCACAAAAAAGAAATGCCCTCAGGGATCCCTTTGCAAGTCTGCACAAGCTGAGGGGGTAGGTCCCAAGCTGCACAGCACTACCTGGCCAGAACGGGCTCCCAACCTGTGAAAAGAAAAAGAAAACAAACAAATTCAAAACAAGGAAACAAAAAAAAGCCCTGGGATCCCACCAGCGTGGCAGCACAGTCCAGGAAGCAGTTCCACACTCGAGTGGTGCTCCACAGCCCCTCAGGAAGAAGCAAAGCTGGCGCACAGAGCCAGATATTTGAGTGAAAGGAGGGAGAGATGGTGAGAGCAAAGAAAGAAATCAAAAGAAGCAGAAAAAATCTTCCCCAGCAGCCAACAAATGGTACTCAGGGAATCGGCCATTGTGGGTGGGTAGAATCTAAGCAGCTGGTGCTTCCCGGCCAAGAGACTGTGGCCATGGAAGCAGAAGAGTCCGAGTAGGGGTGAAGAAGGGTAGGGGGTGGGAAAGCGTATATCGCTGTTTACCAGTTGGTCTGTCCCCTGCTGGTAGCTCTGTGAGGTTGCTTTCTCATACTCCCTATTTGCTGGTCTCTGATAGGAGTCCAAGATGGCGGGTCGGCGCTGCGTTAGCTGATAGGGGACCTCTGCGTGTATGTTTCCTTGCTGTCTGTTCTCTGTCAGTTTCTTACTCCATTTGGTGTTTGGCTAAGTTCTTTATCTCTTCATTTGATGTTTAGGGTTTCAGGATTGCGGTTTTCTCTGTTTGGCTTCGTTTTTCAGATCTCTGCTGTGGAGGGATGGTGTGGTGCTTCTGCTTAGAGCGCCATGTTGCCAGAAGTCTCCAAAAGAAATTTTTACAAAGAGAAAAGCTACACTAGATTTAGTCACTAGACAGTCTTTTAAGAACAAGTGCATTAATAGCGACATGTGGTAGGCAGAATTTGTACCAGGGGCTTCTTAGAATAGCAGTATATATGGTGATTAAAAGTCATAAATTGGAAAGATCATATTTCATATATTGCCTACAAGGATACAATGCTATTATGGGGTTTGTGACTGCAGGCTTCTAAGGCAGGAAGATAGTTGCAATGAAATTGCTTTCTACTGCTACCTGGAAATGAATCTAATGTTTCGTTTTCTATTATAATCACGATGAACTAGGGACTTAATTATGTTGGCTCTCAGTAGACCTCAGATCTGATAACTTTTTTTTTTTTTTTTGAAGATTCTTTAATTGTTTGGATTGGTTTTAGGAAAAGAGAGCTAGGCAATGCAGGAAGGAAGGCACCACAGGCCACTGTATAGATTTGTGCAAATACATAAGTCTTATATATGACTGTGTGCTTTGTCATCTGTGACTATTTGGAGGCCCTTAGGGCACTCAAAAGTTTTAAGTAGAGGAGATCCACCTTCAAAAGTTTGGAGTTTTGTCTCTGAAAATCAATTGTTCTTGAAAAATTGACTCGATGGCAATGGGTTTTTTTTTTTAAGTGACTGTGAGTCATCTCATGCCATGACTTCATTCATTATCTTCTAGTGTCTGCTGCAGGGGAGATTCAATGCACAGGAATTCAGGCTAAAATTGAGCATGTCTTTAAAGGGAAACAAGTTTCAATTTGTAAATCAGCATATATTCCTTGTACAGTATAACGCAAATCTATAACAGATGGAGATTATTACTTGATGGAATTTAAGAACATTAGCACAATTTATAATGGTGGAAAATAATCATTACCTGATGAAAACATGATTTTGCCTCAAAACAAAACCTTGTTTTTCTATACACCTGTTGAATTTAGTGTTCAGGGTCAGGCATCAACTTAAACCAGGACTGAAATCAGTAAGATGCAATATTAAACTATATTCTGCATTGGAAAACATTTATGTGCTGTTGATGTTTAACAAAAAGAACAAAACTATTTGATATGCTTAACTTTTAAGGAGATGTGCAGGATTATAGTGTCAAATGTATAATGTTTATAATAGAAGCCAGGGTAACTTTTGAAATCACAGCCATTTTGTAACAGACAAATCCATTATAGGGGTCATTTTTTAAAGGTTGCAATCAGGCACAAAACACTGATTCAAAAGTGAAAACAAAAGCACAATTGCGTTTTTCTTTATGCCTGACTTCAGTTTAATACCATGATGATTTCTGTATTACTTGATGGGGTCAGAATATAAATAGATGCTGTTAAAACAGCTGCTTAGAGAGTGTTCTCTATATACCAAAAAATGTTTACATTTGCATAAAACCCAATCTAATCCACACACAGCCTGCCTCTGCTTGCTATTCAGCCTTCTAATACTATCTTTCCTTTTTACTGCAATTTTTAAGATGACTAAAATAGTCCAATTTAACTAGAAAGAAGAAAAAGTTCCACACAGTATAGATAGGTATGGTCTGAATGGAAAACCCAGAGTCACAAATCCCTGGATCCAAGGCTTAGAACTAACAAAAGCTTCTTTCATAATCTCAGGCTAAACTAAGTTTTAATTCTGCCATCTGTCAAATGAGAAGAAATCTGCTCTTTGCTAAAGGGTGTTGAAGAAAAATAACTTGTTACGTATAAAATGTCATATGTGTACCAAGCACTAGGTTTTTATATTTTCAAATCTAAATAAAAAAATTTGAGGTACCAATGGCAGCATTTTAAATTTCATTTATTAAGTCCTCAAAGATATACAACTTCATTGCTAACAGCTCTGTTTTGGTTTGTGAAGTGGAGTAGGACCTTATTCTGACAATGCTGATATTGTCACCAACTGGAAACATGTCCTTGCAAGTTCATCATGTAATGAGGAAAGAATTTCAAAATGTACATACCACATTATCTCCAGATACTGCATGGTGGTCCTCCTCCTTATGAGCTCTTGCCTCATTTGGAACAACTTCATTGGACTCTTCTATAGGAAGAGAACACAATGAATTCATTTTTCATTTCTCAAACCTTTATTGAGATTTCCTTTTTAAGAGCATATAAATAATTTCTCTATTATAAAAAGACACAAGTAACAAATTCGCTTCATAATTCTTTAACATGTATTCCAGTTTCTATACAATGTATCCTAAGGAAATGAGCATGTGTGTGTGCAAATACAAGGACAGTTACCACTGTGCTGTTTGTAATAGAAAAAAAAAAAGAAACAACCTATATGCTTAACAGTGGAGGATTAAAGAAACAATTTAGGATCTATCCCTACAATAGAGTAATATGAGCCCACTAAAAAGGAATAAAAGACTTGTTAATAACAAGAAAAATATTCATGATCTATTGGAAAGTAAAATAATGAAGGTTACAAAATCTACTATGTAGGTACACTGTGATCTTAATTTTGTGAAAGAAAAAGAGTATAAATTTTCCTGGAGGAAAAAAAAGACTAACAGTATTTATACCAAAACAACATTATTATTTCTGGATAGGATTACAGGTGGTTTTCATTTTTCTTCATTTTTACTTATTTTTTATTATTCTTATTTCCTTCTTTTTGCTTATTTGTATTTATTACAATGTATTGTTAATTGTAATAAGATAAAAGTGATAAAATAATTTTAAAGTATAGGATATAAATCTATAAACACAGTACATTTCCAGTTTTGTAAAAAGGCAAAAACATCTTTTATTGGAAAAGAGAAAACACTGGCAAAAACATCCCCCACCCCTATTTTAAGAATGGGTATCACCGAGTGGTAGAATTATTTCTATTTTTTCATTGCATTTTACAATATTTTCTACAATAAACATATATTCAAAATTCTACATTCTAAAAACGATGAAGAACATAAATTGAAATAGAAAGAAATTAATTCAGAGAGTAGTCTACTATAAAGCTCCCTTGTTGACCTACAGAAAGTGGCTGGTTCACCACAAAGGGTATCTACATGCATAATCCCCTCTTTTTTAGATGATCCTCACCGCCAACACTTAGAAAAACAGGGCAGCAATGTTTCTCTCTTTTCTTTCTACACAGCCATGCCATGGAGATTAATTGAGCAAATACTAATAGAAATTATTGGCCCCTTGGTAATCAATATTTTATTTCACTTTAGAGAGCAGCACAACAATATTTATCAGCCCCACGAAGATTTTTACCACTCCGTTCCTTCCCATGGAAAGACATATAGTGGTGTGCCTTGTATGGGATGATTAGGAGAGAAACATGGTGATCCAGGAACTCACATATGAGCACATAGAGAATTAGAGTTTAAGATATTCAGAGAAACCTTACCAGAGTTTTCATGCAAAGTCCTCTATAAAGTCAATTAAAAATTTTCAAAAAGAATGGTTTCTAGACAGAGGAAACTTTATTCACTATTTAAAATTCCAAATCACAGATATTTCAAATCCTATGTAATCAACAACAGAATGAAATAAAGGGAGAGAAAACTGTCAGCAGGTTTAGCCGCAGAGCCGGCACTAGCTGCCTCAGAATATGGGTTATATTGCTCACCATCAAGATCATTACTAGTAACTTTATTTATAGATTTGCCTTATATTCCTGTTGTCACTTGTTCATAACTTTGTACATAGTTCTTTTTTAGTGGCTATGTATTCATGCCTGGTGTGATTATTTTAGAAGATTTAAATTAAAAACTATTTTGAGGATTTCTAAAATAAAAGTGTGGGAAGTAATACAGCTGAATAAGGAATTTTTTCTTTTGCTTACAGATAGCTTCAACATTAGTTGAAAGTTTGAAAGCTAAACATTGTTATTCTGTCTATGGATTCCTCAAGAAGAGCAGCTCTGCTAATTGGAAAATGAACAAATAAGTAGAACTATTAATGACTGAAAACTCCAGAGGGCACTGTATGTTGTTGTTAGGTGTCATTGAATCGGTTCTGACTCAGTAGTGACTCTATGTACAATTGCCTGGTCCTGCGCCATCCTCACAATCATTGCTATGATTGAGGCCATCATCACACTCATAACCATCAAAGACTGTTTCTTTCTGTGTGTAAAACTTTTCATGATTTTTTTATAATACTGGTCTCATACAGAATTTGTCCTTCTGTGATTGCCTTATTTCACTCAACATAATGTCCTCCAGATTCATCCATGTTGTGAAATGTTTCACAAATTCATCATTGTTCCTTACCGTTGTGTAGTATTCCATTGTGTGTATGTACCATAATTTGTTTATCATTCATCTGTTAATGGGCACTTAGGTTATTTCCATCTTTTTGCTATTGTGAATAGTGCTGCAATGAACATGGGTGTGCATATGTCTATTCGTGTGACGGCTCTTATTTTTCTAGGATATATTCCTAGAAGTGGGATTGCTGGATCGTATGGTATTTCTATTTCTAGCTTTTTCAAAAATGGTGGTACCATTTTACATTCCCATCAGCAGCCTCTCCAACATTTGTTATTTTCTGTTTTTTGATTCGTGCCAGTAATGTCAGGGTGTAATGTGTCCCATTGTGGTTTTGATTCGCATTTCTCTAATGTCTAATGATCACAAGCACTTCCTCGTGTGTCTGTTAGCAGCATGAATGTCTTCTTTCGTGAAGCGTTTGTTCACAGCCTTAGCCCATTTTTTAATTGAATTATTTGTTTTTTTGTTGTGGAGGTGTTGGGTTTTCCTATAATTTTAGAGATTAGACATTTTTTGGATTTGTCATAGCCAAAAAATTTTTCCCAGTCTGTAGGTTCTCTTTTTACTCTGTTGGTGAAGTCTTTTGATGAGCATAAGTCTTTAATTTTTAGAAAATCCCAGTTATCTAGCTTATCTTCTGGTGTTTGTGTATTGTTAGTTACAGTTTGTATCCTATTTCTGTCGTGCATTAGGACCTATTTTTCCTTCTATGATCTTTATACGTTTTAGTTTTATATTTAGGTCTTTGATCCATTTTGAATTAGTTTTTGTGTATGGTGTGAGGTTTTTTTTCCTTTTTTTTTTTTTGCAGATGGACATCCAGTTTTGCCAACTCCATTTGTTACAAAGACTGTCTTTTCCCCTATTAATGGACTCTGGTCCTTTATCGAAGATCAGGTTACCTAGGTGGATGGATTTACATCTGAGTACTCAATTCTGTTCCATTGGTCAATGTGTCTGTTGTTGTACCAGTACTAGGCTGTTTTGACTACCGTAGCTGTATAGTAGGTTCTGAGGTCAGGTAATGCGAGTCCTCCTACTTTGCTCTTCTTCGTCAATAGTGCTTTACTTATCTGGGGACTCTTTCCTTTCCATATAAAGTTAATAATTAGCTTACACATCTCATTAAAGAATGCTATTGGCATTTGGATCAGGATTGCATTTTATTTGTAGATTGTTTGAGTAGAATTGTTATTTTCACCATGTTGAGTCTACTGATCCATGAGCATGGTATGTTTTTCCATTTATGTAGGTCTGTTTTGGATTCTTGCAGTAGTGTTTTGTAGTTTTCTTTGTGTAGGTCTTTTATGTCCCTGGTTAGATTTATTCATAAGTGTTTTATTTTTTTAGAGGCTGTTATAAACTGTATTGATTTCCTGATTTCCTTTTTGTAGTTCTCTTTATTGGTGTATAGGAATCCAAGTGATTATGTATGTTTACCTTGTATTCTCTAATCTGCTGAATCTTTCTATGAGTTCTGGTAGTTTTCTTGTGCAGTCTTTTGGGTTCCCTACATACAGTATCATATCATCCACAGACAAGGACAGTTTTACTTCTTTGTTACCAATTTGGATGGCCTTTATTTCTCTTTCTTGCCTTATTGCTGTAGCTAGGACCTCTGGCACAATGTTAAATAAGAATGATGATAAAGGCATCTTTGTCTTTTTCTTGTTCTCAGGGGGAATGTTTTCAGCTTCTCTACATTAAGAATGATGTTGGCTGTTGGTTTTGTATAGATGCCCTTTATTATATTGAGAAATATTCCCCCCTCTATACTTATTTTATTGACAGTTTTTATCAGGAATGGGTGTTGGACTTTATCGAATGCCTTTTCTGGATCACTGAGATGATCATGTGATTCTTTTCTTTTGTTTAATTTAAATGATGGATTACATTGATTGATTTTCTAATGTTGAACCATTCTTGCATTCCTGGTATGAATCCCACTTGGTCGTGGCGTATTTTTTTTAATAGTATGTGGAATTCTATTGGCTAGAATTTTGTTGTGAATTTTTGCATCTATATTCATGAGAGAAGTAATTTTCCTTTTTTGTGGTGTCTATGCCTGGTTTTGGTATCAGGGTTATGCTGGCTTCATAGAATGAATTTGTAAGCAACCTTCCTTTTCTATGCTGTAAAACAGTTTGAGTAGTACTGGTGCAAGCTCTTCTCTGAATGTTTGGTAGAATTCTCCAGTGAAGCCATCTGGGTCAGGGCTTTTTTTTCTGTTGGGAGTTTTTTTTTTTTTTTTTAGTTACATTTTGAGTCTCTTCTCTGTTATGGTTCTGTCCAGATTTTCGTACTCAGTTTGTGTTACTTTAGGTAGGTAGTGTGTTTCTAGAAATTTGTCCATTTCCTGTAGGTTTTCAAATTTGTTGAAATATAGTTTTTTACACAACTCTGTTATGATACTTTTTATTTCAGTAAGGTCTGTTGTAATGTCTCCCATTTCATTTCTTATTTGGGTTATTTGCATCCACTCCAGTTTTTCGTTTGTCAGTTTGGTCAATGGTTTGTCGATTTTGTTGACCCTTTCAAAGAACCAACTTTTGGTTTTGTTGATTCTTTCTATTGTTTTTCTATTTTCTATTTATTTCTGCTCTTATCTTTATTATTTCCTTTCTTCTGGTGGCTTTGGACTTCTTTTGCTGTTCACTATTTGTTTAAATTTTATACCTGATGTTTTGATTTTGCCCCCTTTTTTTTTCTTTTTTTATATTTAAGCTTTTTTTAAATTGTACTTTAGGTGAAGGTTTACAGAACAAATAGTTTCTCATTAAACAGTCAATACAAATATTGTTTTACGACA